ATCAATTGATCTCGCTTTTCCTTCAACATGCCTCCCGTCAAGATACATATATACACATCTCCATCCATCTTAAAAATTCCTCTTCTACTTTTTTTAGGGTTGCAGATTCAATTGCTTGACATGCGTCGATAATCTTTCTCTTCCAACTCTTCCGTTGCATTTACGGAGGTACTGAAAACTTTTCGCTTGGGATAACCCCAAAGAAAGAAATTCTGAATAAAAACTTATACCAGGTTTTGGACAATATACGTATATAACTTGAACTGAGGCGAAACTTGTGGTTCGGGCAAGACAGTGGCCCTCCATATTTTGTGATCCAAGTACGTAATTGGTTACAAATCAACTTTAGAAATAAATGGATTGGACGTGATGGTCTAGTAACGTGACCCCCAAGATCTTTAGACTTTTCTGCCTGCGATTTCTTTCTTTAGGGTTGTCTCAAGCAAAAAGTTTTTAGTACTCTTATAGATACAGTAGAAGAGTTGTAAAGCTTCTGGGTCGCTTCTGAAACCTTAAAAAAAGTAGAAGCGGAATTTTTAAGAATGATGGAAATGTGTATACTTCTTGATGGGAGACATGTTGATGGAAAAGCGAGATCAACTGAGTATGAAATAATATTACTTCCAATGACCCATTCACTCAATCGATTCTTTTTAGAACCATCATGACGGATGAAGTCCGACCAAGCAACCTCCCTATGATGTACGTCGGGTAACGATACTTGTAGCGACACATTAACTTTAAGAAGCCATATCTCCGAAACCAAGTAGGCAAAATACACATTTAGAGTTTTGAAAAGGTCAAAATATCTGCTATAAAGATATGTAATGCAAAATATACATTTTCATTAAAAAATATGATCTTGACATTCGTAGGTTTGTTCAAGGACATCGCATGGTCAAAAGAACATGTACACCACATGTTACTATTAATACCATGCAATATTTGTCTGAAATATTTTTTTATATCATCAATATTTTTCGAATATTTTTATATTCGGATATAACTCACACGCATTGTATATGTACTTATTACAGATTAATACAATCAACTTCGAATTAAGTTTAAAAAATTACAACAATTTCCTATCAGGTTTTCATATTTATTTAATTTTCTGTAAGTGTCCTAATACTTTTGGAGGGGAGTGTACCTATGAATTTTTTCATAATTGAAATACAGGGTGTCCCAAAAATGTCTCGCAATCCGAAAGTAGGTGATTCCTAAGGTCATTTGAAGCAACTTTTTCCTTAGCGAAAATGCAATCCGCAGCTTCGTTTACAAGTTATTAACAAAAAACAGTGACCAATCAGAGGCGAGATCATTTGGCGCGAGACGACCGAGCCAATGAGCGGAATTGGGCTCTGTGCACTCGTTGGCTGGGCCACCGCGCGCCAGCCGAGCTCGCCTCTTATTGGTCGGTATTTTTCGTTAATAATTCGTAAACGAAGCCGCGAAGAAAATTTTCGCGAAGGAAAAAGTTGCTTCAAATGACTTCAGGAACCTCCCATTTTCGGGATACCCTGTATATAAAGAATGCAAAATATTTAACAAAATATACAAAACAGTTTTTCAGCGAGTTACTGTGCTCTTAAAAAGATGAAAAGTTAATTACTGTGGATCAGTTACACTGAGATTTTCCTAGTTACTGTGTGCCAATTTTTGTACACAGATCTAGTTACTGTGTGTCAATTTCTGCACACTAATCTTATTACCGTGATCAGTTTTAGGAAAAATAATCCTATGGCAAAACTGTGAAAACATGAAATATTCCGTATTAAATCATTTAACATTAATTTATTATACGGCGTATTCGGAAAATCGTAGTACGATCCGCGGGAGAGTGATTCCTCGCATAAAACTGAACCGAAAATATAGAATAAAATTTTTTCGTACAGTGCATGATTCCCGAAAAAATTTAATTTGAAAATTCGTTCGGTACGTGTGTACTTAGGTACAATGGAGTTTGACAGATCGGGCAAACGAACCAAACTGTGTCTAAATGCGTGCGTATGTAACGAATTTTTAAACTCGATTTTCTCGAAATTGAAGTCCTGTATGACAAAATTTTATTCTATATTTTCCGCTCAGTTTTATATGAGAAATCACTCGCGTGTCGGTTGCACCAGGATTTTCCGAACATTCTGTATACGTTTAAATACCTACGATATTATTCGAAAAAGGAAAGAAAACGTGTAGCGTGCACTCATTTCATGGACCATGAAAGTAAGGTTAGATGTAACACGTGGTTTAATAGGAGAAGGTTCAATAATCAACGCACGCATCGAAAAAGACATGAAAACTTAATCCAGTTACAGTGCACAGTAATAGAAACAAGACCAAAATTTGTTTCAGTTACTGAATTACTTTAAATAAAAAAATACATCGACGAAGTTGATTATATTATTATTTTTCTGTAACTTGCTCGAATTTTATGAATATAATAGTTCATTATTTTAGAAGTTAGTTCCCGCAATTTTTGATTCGGTTATGAAAATAACCGATTCAACTTTATTTAAAAGATTCAATACGTGTAAATTAATAATATTGTTTTCCTAAATATAAGTAATAACATTGCGAGGACACAACAACCAAGTTTGTAGTAAAAACAAGATTAAAAATTTATTAAGATCGTGCAACGTATCCGCGTGTATCAGTTTATACATGTGTAACGAACCGAATGACAACAACGTTTACAAATTACAAAGTGCGTAAGGAATCAAAAAAGACAATTAGATGACCTGTTTCCTATGACCTCTTTAAAACGAAAGCAGTCGACGAGAATGTCCAGCGAGCCTCGATTATCCGGTCTGGTCGAGAACTGTCGAGATGAAGGAAAGATCTGCTGCGAGAATTGCAAACAATTACGGGTTTGTTTTTGTAGGAACTAATTGCGAGCCTGCGAAGTCCCAAGGCGTCGCGATTTCGCAGAAAACGGCGCAGCTCCTGGGTTCTGCATGCTCCTTACCAATTGCATCTACTCCGTGGAGCAGACACGCGAGCCTCGCCGTCGCATTGATACGAGCCAAGCAGGTGGATAAGATAAGGTGGCTACGGAATCAAAGGTGGACGTGCCGGCACGTAGGTATAGGTGGTGCACGCTCGATCCTCCGCATCGGAATGCGTGGCTGGTGCCCAGTATTCCGTGCAGCTTTCGTTCCCTCTTCGTTCGGCCGTGCAACGGAAGAATGAAAACGAATGGGAGAAGAAGAGGGAAAAGAAGAGGGAAAAGAAGAAAGAGAGAGAGAGAGAAAGAGAGAGAAAGAGAGAGGGAGAGGGGGAAGCCAACCCCGAGAAACCAGGTTGACGGAGCAGCGTCTCGCACTTGCAACGGAAGACACCGCTGCGGGAGACGTATTGGTACGTGCATGCAGCTAGAAGAGAGCGGTCCGAGAGGGAGGAAGAGGATCAACAAGGGAACGAAGAGGCACGAATTCCTCGTGGAACCCCCAGGGACGATCGAGGACCTTGTCGGGCCCATGTCCGACGGGAAGAACCGAGCAGAGAAAGTTCTCAGAGGTAAATACGGACAGGTGTTTCAATGCTTCGTAGTTTTCTGTTGCTGCCGCTCGTTTTCAACCCCTCGCAACCGGTTCACGGGTACTCTGGATCAGGTCGATTTCTGCCTCCGTAAAGTCGCTTCCTATGATACTAGTTTATGAACGCATTTGCTAATTAGTGACCGTAGCTACCTAGCAACTCGATAGTTCACGTGGTAGACGATCTACCTTGTTAGCTTCAGATTAGGTAGAAAATCGAGGGCGCGGTCTTGAATTTAGTAGGTACTGGTTCGAATGATATATTCTATACTAGTTCACAATGCCGAGCCGTTGTACATAAATGGTTCATTGTAGTAAGATTAGGGGCGACACTTGGGGATGACTTAACCTTTTGCATTCGAAGCTATTTTTATACCAAGATCAAGACGGTCGTACGACCTAGAGATCTCCATTTTATAGTATTGTTACATTTTATGTGTGTAAAGTTGAACCTACTTTAATCGTACCGCCATCTTTAATAATTTTATAAATGTACAAAACTTTATTTGATTATTTAAATTATTTATTTTCCAAAAGATTGTTTTGGAAAATGTCAGAGCAATTTCTTGTGGCACGTCACAGCCGTCGTTGCAACGGGTCAACCCTTAACTGGTATAACGATTTTAATAAAATGACTGGTATGTTGGGATCGCGATAGATCCTAAATGAAAAGGGCAAAGAAATGTGGTAATCTAATTCCAGATAAACGCATTGTTGATATTTTATTTTTACAAAATTATGTATTGTGTCTATTGTACAAAATACAGCATAACGTTAAATAATAATAAAAATACAATGAATGACATCGAAGAATTCTTTTACCATTAACTATGATAATAAGTATCGGAGACTGTTCGAAACGGGTCTAATACGTTTTTTGTTTAGTTCTTGTATCCGCGTCGCGCGTATTAATACCATCGAGTGGGAGCGTAGAACGAGGACGCCGCGTCGATGCGTTTACACCCGGAACTGACCCATCAGCGTCCCGCGAAGCTTATCCTGGAAACGTGAAATTCTCAAAAAAACAAAAACAACCAGCAACGACGACTCGTTAAAGATTCGAGAAATCGGAAACAGGTTGAAGTGAAAAGGTACGGATGACTTAAGTTACGAAGAGCATGCCACTCGCCTCGTAGCGTGTGCACCCATAACATCGCGGTTTCGACGACACTGGTATCGTCCTCAACCTTTCACGCGGCTCCTGGCTCGTCCGTCCCTCTTTCTCTGTCCCGTTGTCCGGACGCGTAACACAAAAGAGAAAGAGGAGTACACGGCCAGGCGGTTGCCGAGTGACTGAACGTCGCTGCGGGTGGCGTGGGACGGCGGGAGAAGCTAGCACGCGGTGGTGGGGATGGACGTTCGGGCGGTGGGTTCAGCGCGGCGGTTACGGCGCAATGGTGGGGGGGAGATCGGATCGGAGCGTCGTAGAGCGACGGCGGGGCGGACCGAGGACCGAGCCGTCAGTCAGCCGTGCTTCGTCGTAGGGATGAGATCGCAACGAGGCAGGACGTCGCACGATCCGACATTCGCGCGACGACGGTGACACGGTACAAAGATTGTGCACGCGACCCGCTACGCATACGTAACGTGTCACGATTCTGGGATTCGCTTCCGCGGCGACCGATCGGGTGGATGTTGTAGTTTGGCGGCAGGAGAGGCGTGTTTCCCAGGCTGTGCAACTGTGCGGTGCTATCCTCGTTTCTGCATCTTCCGCATTCCTCGCTCGGATTCGGTGTATCTTTCACCGTGCGGAGCGCACCGAGCCTGTATCGACGGCTCTCTTGGGATTATTACGCGCTCGGACCAGAGCCGGAGCCAGCTCCGGAACCGAAACTGAAACCGACGCCGTGCCGGCACCCACCATCGTGAGTGAATATGGTCTATTAATAAGCATAGTCACACACAGCCCAGCGGGACCACCGTGCGTCTTGCCCGCCGCTTTGTTATCATCGATTCCGAACTGTCAAGACGCGTTCCGGCCGCGGGCACGCCGAGTCCGAACACTCCGAGCGCGGTGCGTGTCTCTGCCCTCTTCGTCTTCCTTCCTCTCGCAGCGAGAGATACGCGTGTCTGGGAACTCGTTACCCTGGCATGGCCTCGCGAAAGCCTGTTTTCTCAACGGTGCCGACCACGCGCGAATCTCTGCTCTGCCCGTTTCTAAAGGCCTCGTCTTTCGACGGGTCCCGAACGCGTCTTGACAGTTTCGCGGCGTGAATACTCATCGCCCAACGTTCGGCGACGCAGCGAGCGTGTTCTGCCCACGTGCAGTCGGCCGTCCTTACCGACCTGTATACGCATTCTTGCCCGATTTCGTGAACCGCGGCCTTTCAATATCGCTTTCAGATCGCCACGAGTGACACGCAGAAATTCGTTTCCATGTACCTTCTTGCCACTATTTTGTTAGTGTGTGTAATCTGTTTACAGGTTACACACAATATGTACACATGGAGGTATCGGGAATGTGTACATCGTTGGAGATTAACTCGTGGCGTTGTTGCCATCTGGCAGCGTACATTCTTTAATAGGACATAGCCCTTGTATGTTATTCAACTTCAGAGTCGATTTATAACAATTCATGTCGTTAATGTGCGAGTGACAGAATTATTCGCAGATATTCGTAAATTAATTAAAAAACGTAAGAATGTTGAAACCGTATGTCGCACAATTTGACTTTTCGATTTTAATTCGATGGAATAGAGCACTTTAGTTTCATGACGTTTTTGATTATATCGGTGTAACAGTTAAAGTGTTAAGCAATTGCTGATTTTATTTGAACGTGGAGCAAGAGAATCGCTGCAAATGATGTATAGAAATTCAATTTCGAGTTTGTAACGTGTTCATAGGAATGTATTAGAGTGTCCCATAAGTTCTTTCCGCGCCGCGCTATTAATGAATCTAACTGGCTGTGTTTATATAAACACGCAGACTTACCTCTTGGCTGTTTAGGGTATCGGTTTCAGTCATCCCAGAGCTCTTTTACAGTACGTTTCGTTGGTGACAAAGTTCCTTATAAAATTTGTTCTACGCCGTTCAATATGGATAGCCAAAAGATGCACACATTTGCGGCATGTTATGCTTCATTGCTTTAAAAAAAGTGATAGGCCAAAGAACACTGCAAACGAGATTTGTACCGTTTACGGTGATGGTTCTACGACTATTAGGACAGTCCGCAATTGATTGAAGAGATTTAGAGCTGGCAATTATGATTTGAAAGATGAAGGCCGCAGCGGCCGTTCAACACCGATGGATGCGGACCTTATCAAAGATATGCTCGCTGAAAATCCGCGATATAGTGTGCGCGAGATAGCGGATGCCACTAACGTACCCAGGACAACGGTACATAAGCATTTAATCAAGATGGAATATGTGAATCGATTCGAAGTTCCACATCGTCAAATTTTCATGCAACAACGCAAAACCACATGTTGCGTTGGTCGTAAGACAAAAATTATTGCAGTTTGATTGAGACGTTTTATCTTGTCCTCCGTACTCCCCAGACATTGCTCCATCCGATTATTACTTGTTCTTCTTGTTCAAAAAATTCTCGTCGTGAAAAACGGTTTAAATTCGTAAGCGAAATAAAAACGCACCTTGATCAAAATTTTGCAAATAAGCCTCAACAATCTTGGAAAGACGGCATAATGAGGCTTCCTGAAAGATGGAAGAAGGTAATAGACCAGAACGGTTCGTATATGACTCGATAAATCAACTTTAAACAACAAATATCGTGTAGTCATTTCGCATCAGAAAAAAGGAAAGAACTTATGGGACACCCTAATATATCGTATTGCGAATTAGCTCGTGCCATTGTCTCCATCTGGCAATATAACGAAGCTCTATATAATTTTCAATTAGAGAGTCGGTTTCAGTAGTTGCTGGATACTTTATCTGCACGTGGGGAGGTTTAAATGCAGGAAGAATCGCAAGGTCATTACGTCATTGGCATAGGAATTGCAGTGTCCCATGTGTTTGTTCGATCGACACGAATGTTACAAGAAAATAGTCGGTGTGCTGGAATAGGTTTCTCTGTTAGGTCAGGATTATTGTTGATCACGCATTCAGGAGAAAAGCGATTCTTTGAACTGTCGAGCTCCTTGATATTATCAAACCGAACATTGCAAATGCTCGAACAGCGCCATCGCTCACCTGTCACGTGACTGATCTCGATGACCGTGATACTCGGTGACGGGATTGTTTATGCCTTTCCCGTTCCCGCGAACGTGCAAAATCATTTTTTCTTATCTACGCTCATTAACGCGAGCATTTCCCGGCCGTAGATAATTCAAATATTTGAAGTATGCGGAGATAGAGATGTCGAAACTTTTAAATTATGGCACGTTTGATTGTTCGAATTCTGTTCTTGTTTAGATCCTATCTTATTCTGTTTGTCAAACTTGCCGGTTTTTGCTTCACGGTTTTGAATAACTTTGAGAACTTTTTCATCGCTTAATGACTTAGCTTTTTTTTCTGAAAATTCAGGATAACGTAATATTTCTATCCATTTTCTATTTTCTATCTAAGTATACAATATTTCAGTGTTTCGATATTACACCGTGAGCTGGATTTTTAAATAACAACGTGCGTGAAATTCATTTGCGTCTCTTTTCACGAAATATGAAGTTCAGATCGTTATAAATATGCATGTTGCACCGATGGAAAATATTTGAAAGGAATACAAGAGAATATGCTAAATAATGAATTATTACGATAATTTGAAGCTTGTAGCTTGATAAAGATGATTTAATACATACAGCTTGATAACGATGACTTAACATTTGTAGCCTGATAACGATAATTTAATACTTGTAAATAGTTGATACAGTTCAATGAGTCTTTATGTAAATACAGAAGAAATTCAAGTATCAGTGTCTTGGTTCGAATAATATTTATGAGACTGATATCAAGGATGTCTATCCTTCCGACGACACGTGTACGCAACAGTAAACACGTGTAAGCACGCATGCCGAAGAATTCCATAGTAGAAATACTCAAATTTCACGGACACGTGTTACGCAAATAAAAAACACAAAATCCAGTTGGAAGCGTCTGTCCTTAAGTGAGCCGTTTGAAAATGGTTTGAAAGTGGTATAAGTCACTTTACCGTAATGAAAAGTGGTGATTTTTTAATGTTTATACAAAATAAATCTATACTCTATACCTAATCTATACTATAATTCTATACTTAATCACTCCTATTGATGACGAAAATTAAATTGAACCGATGTATTTTCATATAAATTACTTATACTTATGTTTCAAAATGTACTAATTATTTTTGTATTTTATGAATAATAAAATAATAAATACTTAAATCAAATTTATTCAACAATTTTAGTAAATCACTGTCCTTTCAAAACATCACTTCAGTAAAATACGTCGGACAAAATTAATATATGTCAGTCATTTTTCTAAACTATTTATTTTGAAAGTGGCTCAAGTCATTTTACCGTAATGAAAAGTGGTGATTTTTTAATGTTTATACGATATTATTTATACTGAGAAAAATATCAGTATCCTGAGATAACAAATACAAGTAAATCTTCTCGAAAGTTAGCATCCATATTTTTAAACGTGTTAAAACGCAAACCCTTAAATATATCGACGTAAAAACAAAGTGACTTATGCAACTTTCAAAATAAATGGCACAAGTGTCTGGACACTTAGTGCATCCAAATAAACGAGTCATCTTCGAAGGATGATGCCAGGGTCTGTCTACGTTCAGCATTTTAAAAGTTCATCCTCTTTTAAATTACTCTAACGTCTCTAAATAAAATCAGAACCCTACTTGGTTTGTTCCCGAATTGTTTTAATATTTAATTTTCAGATTTTGGTCATTTCGTTCCTGCTTCTAATTGATTCCATAATTTTCCGTTGCAAAACATTTATTTATTAAATAATACAAATTTATATATTAAATTAAATATTATATATATTAATTAAATTATTAATATATAAATGATTAATATATAAATTATATATTATATAAATTATTTATTTATTAAATATTTATTTATTACAAATGTATTTATTATCAAATTATTTCAGCTCTTCCAAAACTATTTAAATACGAAATCTAATCACAAATTGGCATGCTAAATGACGTATCGATGGTAAAAACAAGCCGCTTAACTTTCACCATAACGATTTCATCAGTACCACTGGTTAATGAATGTTACTGTTGATAATATTTGCAACATAACATGCAAGACGATATTTCCAACATTTATCAGCGATGTTCACAAGGATGTGTGACTAGACACGGTTTAGACAATGGTGTATGTGTAATATGCAATCACTTACTTGCACATATGTGCACTGCGCAGTTGCAGTTGCAGTTGCAGTTGCAGTTATTTTCAGCTCCAATTCGAAGGTTGTCATCGCTGCTGTCTTTATCGAAATCGTTTTCGTTGCCATAGTATTCGACTTGCAAATGATGCTTCGAACATTATGTTCAGACGATATTTGTTCTCTGCATCTCTGTCACGTAACATATCGAAATGGTCGAAATCGGAATTTCCAGCGTCGCTATCATCCTCAACGAGCGTCAGTCATACAAGCCGGTTTTCTGCGCGTATACCATGGCACACAGTGCATTATACACTAGCATACGCCATGGCCTGAACTTCACTGCAGTCCGTGACCCCGAGTGTTTCCTGTTACGAGAAAGGCCTTTGCATGGTTCGGTACGTCGGCATTCCTTTTGTTCGCGGTAATGATCATTGCGTAACTCGAAACATTTGGGAAAAACTCGGGCGCGTGCGAACCTTCTTATATTCTGCTCACTCTTTCTTTCCGTAACGTCGCGGTTCAAAACGATTTCATCCACTCGTTCATCAACCGTTTGTTACAAATGCTAATTATTTCA